CCAATAGACTGCAGCATATTATGTGTTAAAAAATAATAATAATAATATGCTAAAAAAAAAAAAAAACTCAACCTCCCCAAGTGGGGCATGGCCTCGGAGGACGGGAGGAGGGTTGGGAGTAGGGGTAGAGAATGGTCTGTGTTCAGCCCGAGCAGGTCTGGGAATTGACGAAGAAGCTGGTCAGGATGTTTCTGCCCTTACGGAGGCTCAGGTGCGTGATCGGGACTTGACAAGAAACTGCCCCGGTGTATTTTGACTGGGCTAGTTTTGTCCTTTGTGAGTATCAGATGGCTATTTTCCTCCTCCCTCTCTTATTACGGGCCCAATGCCCCGGGCAGAAATATTAAATAAGAACGACCGCCAATTAATATGGGTTTATTCCACAAGCGAAACTGGCTAAGGCTAAAAAAAAAAAAAAAAACAGGCTAAGGCTGCCAGGATAACTTCCGGGTTGAATTGTGAGGTCCCCGGCTTCGATCATTTGAGTTTGGTAATAAATTGCTCGTGTTGGTTCAAAAAACAAAAGTAAAAAAAAAAAAAAAAAAAAACTTTATCAAAAGAGCCTAAATTAAGATTCAGGTGACGGGAGCTGTAGGAGAAGAGGGGATCCCAGGGGCAAGGTCCCACTCGCAAAGAGGAATGGGTTTAACGCCTGAACGTGGACATGTATCGGGAAGAGATGCAGAAAAGCAGATCAATAGCGGTTTCTGCATCTCGCCACGAACACGTCCACATTCGGCCGTTAAATTCAATCCTCTTCCCTAGTAGGAACTCCGGCACGGTGTCCGACTCTTTCCAACTCGTAATAAGGACTGCCCTTTTTTTTTCTTTTTTGTTTTTTTTCCCCCCTTTTGGTAAGCACATTCCTTTCATTTTACAAAATCAACGTGAGCCGAGGCCGGGGTCCTCACAATTCAACCCGGGGCCAAGTCCCACTAGCAGCTTTGAGCTTTTTCAACACCCGAATCTGGTCATGTTTGTGGATATGTGCACAAAATCGCATTGAGTTTCCTCAAACGCACATCTCCAAAACGACGTCCAGATTCGGGTGTTGAAAAAAACTCAAAGCTCCTAGTGGGACTTCGCTCCCGGAGTTATCCTGGGAGCATTACCCAGTTTCGCTTCGGCTGGGCC